GGGGATAAAAAGAGGTTCAGAGAGAAGAAAGAAAAATGAAACAATTAAAAGAAGAAAACAAATAAAGAAAAAATATAAAAAGAAAAAATATATATATATTAGATAAGCTAGTTAAAAAACGTTAAAAAAGAAAAGGGTAAAAGTTAAAAAAATTTAGCAGAAGAAGAGAAAAAAATACTGATAAAGAAAAAAAAATTAAATTAACTGCAAGGCTGAAGAATCATCGGGAGAAAGCCATGAGTTCCGTGCTTTGCTTTCTCCTCCTCTGGAATTCCGCTGCTCTCCTTGGTATTGAAACTGCACTCCTTGGAAGGTGAACTCGGTCCTGGCTGGGTTTCTTATTGATCTTCTGGGGGAGGGGCCTGTTGTAGTGATTCTCAAGTGTCTTTGCCCCAGGCGGAGTTGCACCGCCCTTACCAGGGGCCGGGCTGAGTAATCCGCTCGGGTTTGCTTTCGGGAGCTTTTGTTTCCTGAGCGCTTTCCGTAGAGTTCCGGAGGACGGGAATGAAGATGGCGGCCTCCCAGTCTCCGGCCCGGAGGAGCCGAGAGCCCGGGGCCCCACTCCTCAGTGCGCCCTCAGAGAACAGCGCCCAATTACTCCCGTCACCCTGCCTCTGGCCGCACTCCGAGCTCACCGAGCCTGCGACAGGTTCAAGGTAACCCCGAGCTTAGAGCTCACTCCTCGGCTCTGTCTCTGTAGCCGGCTTCCCCGTTCTAATACCTGTAAGCTCTGCGACACTCAGATACCCCCGATCCTTCTGTGACCCTGCGGGACCTGAGGCCACGGTGACCCTGCGTGGGCTTCACCCCGGTTAAGCCTCTGGAGCGATGTCCCTCAGCGGAACAGACTTTTAAAAGTCCTGATTTTGTGCTCCGTTGCTCCGCCGCTTTCCGGGAGCCGGCCCCTCCCCCCGGGGTCTATCTTCCCGTCGCTTTGGATTCACTTCTCCGCTGGTCCTACCTTTCAGAAAGTGGTTGATTTTCTGTTTGTAGAATTGCTGTTCTTCTTCTCTTTGATCTCCCGTTGGATTTGTAGGTGTTTGCAATCTTTAGATAAGCTATCTAGCTGATCTCCCACTACCTGAAGTAGTCTCAGCCTGCTATTTCTCCACCATCTTGACTCCCCCCATTGTATTTAAGGAAAATGTTTGCCAGATGATTCTTATGCCAAGTTAAAAAACCACGAAAACTATTATTTGACGGGGACTGCCTTTGCAAAAGCTAGTCATTGCTGCCACCTACTGGCAAATTTGCTGTCATGTCTAAAAATAAAATCAAAATAACATGAAGACCAGAAACTCACAGAGACACAGAATTCTATCTAATTCTGTGAGGAACTCCAGAGAACATCTAGTCCACTCCCAGTTTATAGATAGAGACTTAAAACAACCATCCATAACTGCAATATACTGTGATAAATGCTAATGCCATGCTTTGGTTAAGTATAGGGCATGAAAAAGAAATAGAGGAGGAGGCACCTGTTCCAGATTTCTCTTCTGTCTATCCTGGCTTATCTCCAGGGAGTTAAATTTCCAGAAGAAATTACTTTTAAGGTGAAACCTGGAGAATGGGCAGGAATTAAAGGATGAGGGTGTTCCAATCAAAAGGGATGGCAAGTACCAAAGCTAAAAGGTAAAACAGACAATGATTTACTGAGTTCCAAGGAGAATAGCAGTGACCAACCTCAAGAGTTTCCTAAGTACCAGGTGCTCACAACAACCCTATGTTAACCTCTCAACTAGCCTCATAAAATAATGCTTATAGGAACTGTTTAGGGTTTATCATTTTTCTTTCCTTTAAAAGTTTCTGAAAAGCAGCCAGCTTTCCAAGGACTATTAATCTTTGGAAAAGCTTACCCAGAAGTACATAACCTGCTTTCCTTTATGCTTTAAAAAGGACTTACTCATAATTTCTTTAGAAAGCACCATAAGATACCTAGGAATATACCTAACCAAAGAGGGAAAGGATCTATACTCTGAAAACTATAGAACACTTATGAAAGAAATTGAGGAAGACACAAAGAAATGGAACATTCCATGCTCAAGGACTGAAGAACAAATATTGTTAAAATGTCTATGCTACGGGCACCTGGGTGGCTCAGTGGGTTAAGCCTCTGCCTTCGGCATAGGTCATGATCTCAGGGTCCTGGGATCATGCCCTGCATTGGGCTCTCTGCTCAGTGGGGAGCCTGCTTCCCGGGCCCCCCTCTGCCTACTTGTGATCTCCCTCTCTGTCAAATAAATAAATAAAATCCTTTTTTTTTTTTTGTCAGAGAGAGTGAGCACAGGCAGACAGAGTGGCAGGTAGAGGCAGAGGGAGAAGTGGGCTCCCCGCTGAGCAAGGAGCCCAATGTGGGACTCGATTCCATGACGCTGGGATCATGACCTGAGCTGAAGGCAGCTGCTTAACCAACTGAGCCACCCAGGCGTCCCATAAATAAAATCTTAAAAAAAAAAAAGTCTATGCTATGCAAAGCAATCTATACATTCAACAGAATCCCTATCAAAATACCGTCAACACTTTTCAACAGAGCTGGAACAAATAATCCTAAAATTTGTATGGAACCAGAAAAGACCCTGAATAGCCAGAGGAATGTTGAAAAAGGAAACCAAAGTTGGCAGCATCACAATTACAGACTTCAAGCTCTATTTCAAAGCTGTAACCATCAAGACAGTATAGTACTGGCACAAAAACAGACACCTAGATCAGTGGAAAAGAATAGAGAGCCCAGAAATTGACCCTCAACTCTGTGGTCAACTAATCTTCAACAAAGCAGGAAAGAATATCCAATGGAAAAAAGAGTATCTTCAAAAAATGGTGTTGGGAAAATTGGACAGCCACATGCAGAACAATGAAACCGGACCATTTTCTTATACCACACACAAAAATACGCTCAAAATGGATGAAAGATCTAAATGTGAGACAGAAATCCATCAAAATCCTAGAGGAGAGCACAGGCAACAATCTTTCTGAACCCTGCCGCACCAACTTCTTGCTAGACACATCTTCAAAGGCAAGGGAAACAAAAGCAAAAATGAATTATTGGGATTTCATCAAGATAAAAAGGTTCTGCAGGGGCGCATGGGTGGCTCAGTCGTTAAGCTTCTGCCTTTGGCTCAGGTCACGATCCTGGTCCTGGGATTGAGCCCCACGTTGGGCTCCTTGCTCAGTAGGAGCCTGCTTCTCCCTCTCCTCCCTGCTTGTGCTCTCTTACTATCTTACTATCTCTGTCTCTGTCTCTCTCTCAAATTAAATAAATAAAATGTTAAAAAAAAAACCCAAAAATAAAGGCTTTGCACAGCAGAGAAAATAGTCAACAAATAAAAGATAATCTACAAAATGGGAGAAGATTTTTGCAAATGTCTTATCAGATAAAGGGCTAGTATCCAAGATCTATAAAGAACTTATCAAACTCAACACCAAAAGAACAAATAATCCAATCAAGAAATGGGCAGAAAACATGAACAGACATTTCTCCAAAGAACATATCCAAATGGCCAACAGACACATGAAAAAATGGTCAACTTCATTCAGCATTAAAAACCACAATGAGATACCACCTCACACCAGTCAGAATGGCTAAAATTAACAAGCCAGGAAAGCACAGACGTTGGTGAGAATGAGGAGAAAGGGGAACCCTCCTACACTGTTTATGGGAAGGCAAGCCGGTGCAGCCACTCTGGAAAACAGCATGGAGGTTCCTCAAAAAGTTGAAAAATAGAGCTACCCTATGACCCAGCAACTGCACTACTAGGTATTTATCCCAGAGATATGAATGTAGTGATCCAAAGAGGCACCTGCACCCCAATGTTTATAGCAGCAATGTCCACAATAGCCAAACTATGGAAGGAGCCCAGATGTCCATTGACAGATGAATGGATAAAGATGCGGTATATATACACAATGGAATATTACTCAGCTAGCCCAAAAAAAAAAAAAAACAAAACCAAAAAACAATCAATCAATCAATCAATCAATCTTGGGGCACCTGGCTGTCAGTTAAGCATCTGCCTTCAGCTCAGGTCATGATCCCAGGGTCCTGGGATCGAGCCCCACATCGGGCTCCCTGCTCAGTGGGGAGCCTGCTTTTCCCTCTCCTGCTCCCCCTGTTTGTGCTCTCTGTCAAATAAATAACTAAATAAATAAAATCTTAAAAAAAAATCTTGCCACTTGCAGCGACATGGAAGGGAACTAGAATGTATTATGCTAAGTGAAATAAGTCAATCAGAGAAAGACAATTATCACATGATTTCACTCAAAGGTGGAATTTAAGAAACGAAAATAGAGGAGCATAGGGAAAGAGATGGAAAAATATAACAAGACGAAATCAGAGAGGGAGACAAACCATAAGAGACCCTTAATCATAGGAAATAAACTGAGGGTTGCTAGAGGGGAGGGACGTCATGGGATGGGGTAACAGCCTGATGGACATTGGGGGGCACAGGATATAATGAGCACTGGATGTTATATAAAACTGATGAATTACTAACCTCCATCTCTGAAGCTAATATTATACTATATGTTAATTAATTGAATTGAAACTAAAAAAGAAAAACAGAAAACCTGAAAGAAATGGAATGGCTTTATAAGGTCCTTGGGATAAATTGGGGAGAAATAAAGAGCTTTTAAATTGAAGAAAACTGTAAATTATGTTTTAATTACAAATATAGTAATAAAAACTTCACAACTCTGCTTTCCCTTTTCCTATTCTACTTTAAGAACCTAACTTCACCCAGAGGCACAAAAATTACAGCAAGAAGATCAGGAGGTCTGAAATCAGATGTGCATCTGAACACTGGCTTCACCACATATTAAGTGTGACAACTGATAAAATTAACTTTGAATTTCTGCATATACAAAATGGGGTTGATATCTTCCTTAGCGGATTGTCGTGAAGAATAGATGAGAACACATTATATGTAGAACATTTAGCAGATGTAGGCTCCTTGCTTATTTCTCCTGTCCTTCCATGTCTATCAGTTCAAAGGGGTTTGCCTTACTTTCTTTGATGCTGCTTCTGCAGGGCTGCCTCTGATAACTGTCCCTGAAGGATCAGTCGTCTTTGCTTGTCAATATCTCCTTCCATTCGAGCAAAAGCATGAGAGCCGATGAAAGAGAGGTCAACTCCCAAGCCTTCAGCTTCCTCTTCTTGGTTGTCTATAACAAAAATACTATCAACAGAGAGCTTATGACAAAACCTGACAGTAAATGCTACAGATTGTGAATGCTGCAACAGGGATGACTGTGACATAATAAAAAAAACTGGGGTTGAGGCTATTTTTTTGAGAATCAAACTGAAATCAGATTTAGGCATTTGAATAACTGAAGTAATGCAAGAAACCTCCTGTCCTTGTGTGACCGAAGTTTTAGGAATACATGAAATCAAATCAAGATGACCTGGGTATAACCTTAGGAAGGAAAGAGCAGAATGTAAGGATATGCAAAAAGACAGAATTAGTTACACTGCATGTAGGTTTAAAGAAGGGTTACAGCACTGCATCTAACAGAAGAGAAATACAAAGAACAAATGTTTGGGGTCATTTATCCCTACTAAAGAAGGGAGCACATGATAAATTGATTCAAAAACTGGAGTCCTTTTGTCAGGTAATTCTCAAAGTCAGATGACTGGACCAGGGCTGTAGGGTACGATCCACATTCACTAAGATATATCTTCACTCTAATTTAGCATCCTCGTTTTCTATACCTGTCATGCCTACATAATCATCTGGCTCATATGAGTTCTAGTTTTCACTACAAATTAATAGATCAACTTTCTAATTTATTCAGATGATCATTTTATGTTTGGTTAGAAGTCAGTACTTTGGGAATGGGTCATCTGTCTCTTAGTGTGTTCCCCACTTTACTGGCTTTGTTAAAATAAAAAAACTTTGTTTTTGTTTTTTTAAAGAAAGGAAAAAAATGCCTTGGTCCCTGGGGAGCTTCCCAAGGCAATGCCACTACTTGAAATCCAGTCAGGTGAGCCATCCAGCTGGGACTTCCTCACAGCTACTTCACTGCTCCTCCAACTATGACAGGCCAACAGCTGAGAAGAGTTTGTTTTTATGAAAAAATACCCATGAACAAATCAAATAAAGCTGATTTTACATCTATTTTAACAGACTGAATATTCTGACAACATTTATGAATACTAGGGCTTACATCTATGAGGCAATCAAGCCCTCTTTAAACATGGTGGACACAAGGAACTCCTTTGGCTAATGAGTTAGCCTAATCTGCTTCAAAGCATTACGCTCTCAAACCAGGTTTGCAGTTATTGCTCCTTGTCATACAAAATGCATTTATGCATTTAGGAAAAACTATATTCTGCAGGGTGGTCATGATCATGAGAATTTCCAAATAACTCTGGACATAACCTAAAGTATGCGGGTAGCCCTCCAGGAAAGCATGGCTCAGACATTTCCTGATGGTACACCATTTACAATTTCCTCCATTTGATTTAAGGCTGTGTATTGGTCTTAAACTTAATGTCACACCCACAGATAGCTCCCCAAAGGTAGATTGGACTTTTCCCTTATTGGTGGTGTTTTATCAGACCTGTGTTAAAAGCAGATGAGCAGCCTTCTATAGATTTTAACTTGATGCTCATTTAAAAGTGTTCACAGTAGGAATATCATAGTAATTCCTAAGCTGCTGAATTTTCAGATCAATTTCTAGCACTGAAGCTTGGGAGGCATTGTCTCCACACAAGGGAGTTATGACCTTAACTATGTACCCATGAAGATCATATAGCACAGATTCAGAAGGGTTCCCATCCTACCATGTTCTACCATTGCTTCAATCTACATGAGAATATAATCTAAAGAAACAAAACAATTGGTAATGGTACTCCTGTTTTAGTATTTAATGTTAGGTCTGGTTTTTGAAGGATAATGTTAAAGCTGCTGAGAATCTTAGCTGACTATTGACTATGTACTTGATTGCTATCTCAACAGGGTCCTGCATACAACTATGAACTTCATGAGGGTGCAAATGTTGTTATATCCACCTCTGAATCTCTACTCCTAAGAGACTTGATTCTTTGTGTGTGTATGGGGGGGTAGGTGTATAATATATGTATTTTTAACTTAAAAGACTAAATTTTAACAAGAATAAGACTATAAAAACATCTAAGTGGGGCCTGAACTTAATGTCACACCACAGAGAGCTCCCCAAAGGTAGACTGAACTTTCTCCATAATTACTGCTGGTGTTTTATCAGTCCTTGATAAAAGAGGGAAATTAAGAAAAGCAGAACTCACCTTCCGGGGCACCAGGTTTTTCACATATTCTAATCTGTCGTTCAGGTACCACAGGCTCCCCTTCTGCATTTCCAATATCTGCAGGTAGGTATGGCAATGATCGGTATTCCTCCTTTAGTGACCTTGGGAAGTACAGAGGTAGCAGCTTTTGGTAAGTAGCCTGTGTCAGAAAAGCAAGACATTCTGTGAAAAACAATGAAATAACGAAGCACACGAGCTTGGTGCTGTTTCAGACACTGGGAAGACAGCCTCCATCAAGAATAAAAACCTTACTACTTCTAAGCTCAACTAGATGCTATCTGGGACCCTCAAGCAGTTCTTACGTTAAAGGTCAGGGTATTGTCAGATGGTCAAGTTAAATGTAACTCCCATCCAACTTCAAGTCACTGAACCAATGAATGCGTAAGTCCTCCTACTCCTGTCCTATGGTCATTTAACCCTCCCTTGGAGTATCTTATTTATTTTTTACAATGATTTCAAGTTTATCACCTCCCATGGGAAGCATTTAACCTTGTGCAGGCTGCAGTTATGCGGTCCTATCCATTCCATACCTTCAGTAATGCACTTATCATAATTGCCATAACTTATCTGAATGGTCTGTCCCCAACAACAGACAATGGATTCCTTGAGGACAATGACCCTCACTTGTTCAACTGGTGTATTAACAGAATCTAGTGTAATAAACTTGGAAGCTACAGATACTCAGCAAAAGATCACTGAATGAATAGGTAAACCAGGTGAAACAAGAAGAGATAGCAAACAAGAAATGTGCCTCATTTCAGCAATTTCAAAAGTATTTATAATCATGTATATCGCTATTAATACCATGAATGGATATTTTGCGTGTCAACTCATTCATCACTGTACTCCTGTGATATAAGTACTACTAATACTCCTATTTTATCAAAGCACAGAGAGATTAAGTAACTTGCCCAAGGACACAAAACAGCAAAAATAATACAAGCTGAACTGGATAGAGCACACTAAAACTAAATAAAATTTAAAAAGGGTTAAAAGAAAAAGAACTCGTTTTCTAAAATGGCTCTAAATTAAACTGAAACATACTAAACCTAACTACACACAACAAAACAAAACATAAACCTCACAACTTATTCAATGCTAGTCACTAGGCTGGGCTGTCATGATTCCAGGTAAGGTAGACCCAAGGCTTTCCCAGCATAGCAATTTTCCAGTTACACTGCCCAGGCACCCAGTACTTGGGTTATAAGGTGATCCCTTGAGAGATTTCAAGAGCTAATACAGGGAGCAAAGCAAAATAACACCTTGTAAGATTTCATGAAATGAAAACAGTTTAGCAGTAAAAACATGACTAAATGCTCTTTCTTAACTTGTTTTTAGTCTCTAATATGTGTTCTTTTCAACAAAGGATGGTAAGGCCCACTGCCAAATACATACACAGATACCTAGAATTTGCCTGCTGGCAATTCAGTAAATAGACAATGATGAGGCAAAGGCAAACAAATAAAAATGAGATTAAAACAATGCAACATAATTAGCAAAATACCTCTTCTAGTTCAGAGACAGCAAATACTACTTTTTCAATGGTCTCTCCATGAATTTCTAGGAATCTCCTTACAGTGCCTAAGGAAAGGAATAGAAAAAAATTATTCAATAAATAAGAAATAACCTGTGTGAAGAAAACTCAAACTCTTCAAAGTTTTATTTTTATAATGGATCACTCCTCATTTTTGTCAGCTCTCTGCTCAATGATACATCAGTGAAGCCTGCCCAGAGTACTGTATCTAAAACTCCTCTGACTTGCTTTCCTCCAGAGCAAATATTATAGACATTTTGTGGAGTTTCTTGCTTATTTTAGATCTTCTCTGCCCTCCCTGCCCCATCTGCTAGAATGAAAGTACCCCGCCAGCAAGAGCTTTATTTACTGCTTTATTGCCAGCTTTTAGAACAGTGCCTGGCCATAGAAGATGCTGATTCCAGACAAGTCTTCCTTATCCAGTGTATTTTTATTCCTTGGGGCCTATCTGACCATTCATTTAGTTATAGTATTCAGGGAACTACTCAGAATTGCAACCCTGTCAAAATCCCACTGACCAAAGGTGAATTCTTTTTTTTCTTAATTTCTATGTTATCCTGGTTCTTCCCTATCAATTTCCTATTAATGAAACCTAATGGCTTTTCCTCAGTCCTTACCTCACTAGAGATTTCTCTAGATTTAGTTTTATGTGTCCATGCCCTACCTTTTAAAAATGTTGTCCTCCACATTTATTTTCTTGATATATATATATCAAGAAATATATATATTACAAATATATGATAAATATATATTATGAATATATAATAAATAAATAAATAAATTCTCTTTAGCTCACCACTTTGCTGGCTTAGCACCAACGTAAATACTGACATTCTCAAAGCTTTATATTCTGTTTTCTGAATAAAACAGCTAAATTTGGGGCACCTGGGTGGCTCAGTGGCTTAAGCCGCTGCCTTCGGCTCAGGTCATGATCTCAGGGTCCTGGGATCGAGCCCCGCACCGTGCTCTCTCCTCAGCAGGGAACCTGCTTCCCTTCCTCTCTCTCTGCCTGCCTCTCTGCCTACTTGTGATCTCTGTCTGTCAAATAAATTAAAAAAAAAAAAAATCTTAAAACAAACAAACAAACAAAAAAAGCCAGCTAAATTCCCTACTGCCTTCTGGGCATATCTGCCCAGATAACCCAGAAACCTTGAACTCCAGAGATCCGAAATTGACCCCCGTCTTTCCCCCGAAAATGTGCTCCTCTACCTATATATTTTATAACATAGCAACTTCAAATCACTCATCCAAGCTCAAATCCTGCTTTTTTTTAACACTTTTTTCACCTCTCCCTTCATTCTGCATTTTCAATGAGTTATCATGTCCTTTAAATTCTGCTGCTATTTCTAATATCCATTCCTTCCATCTTCCAGCTGTTCTTAGGATATTAATGCTCAAGAAGCCTTCAGCAATAAGCTCTTGTTTTCTTGTTTCTCTTTTCCAGGTCTATATATTCACTGTTGCCTGAGTTATCTTCCTTCCCTTGTCACCCTCCTTACTAAATAATTCTGAGGCTCTGAACCGCTTCTAGGTTAGGATCTAAGTCCCCAGCATTGTTTGCCACACTTAGACTTCAACTGGCCAGCCATCCGACCCTGCCCTTTAGTCCTATTTCCCATCATTCCTCCCACAGACCTTACTTTCAGCAAATTGGCTTCTTTGCTGTACTCAGAACATTCCACTTAACTTTCATGCTACCCTGCCTCTTCTTGCATGGTTACCTTTGACTAGAATACCATTCATTCACCATGACCTATTAGTGAACTCCTCCTTATTTTCAAGACCCAGTCCAAGGCCATCCAGTTTGTACAGAACTCCAACCTTCCTCGTGTTCCTCCTATAACCCGAAAGGCCCTCCATTTGTGAACTTCTCATTCCATATTATAGCTAGACTGTGAGCTTTCTGAAGGCCAAGTATATCTTACATTAATATTACCAGAACCTAGCACATCTTAAGATATGGCAAACAATCATTCAAAAATAACGAGTAGCTCAAGTAACATTTTATGGGTCTGGTTATCTACATATTGCCTACCTTGTTCACTACTGTATCTTGAGAATCTAAGACCCATTTGTTGAAGGATTAAACTATTTAGAATTCTCCCTCTGTTAGGTAACAAATTTATTTTTCATTTCTCTCTCTATTCTGCTTTAACAATTTTCTAAAAATGTATTTTCAAAATGGGACTTTCTTTTATTTTGACATCAAGTTGTTTTGATTTTTAAGATTTTATTTAGATGGGGTGCCTGGGTGGCTCAGTGGGTTAAGCCTCTGCCTTCGGCTCAGGGTCCTGATCTTAGGGTCCTGGGATCTAGCCCCGCATCAGGCTCTCTGCTCAGCAAGGAGCCTGCTTCCCCCTCTCTCTGCCTGCCTCTCTGCCTACTTGTGATCTCTGTCTGTCAAATAAATAAATAAATAAATCCTAAAAAAAAAAAAAAAAAAAGATTTTATTTAGAGATAAAAGGGTGCACGCATGTGCGAGTAGGGGGAGGAGCAGAGAAAGAGTTGGACAAGCAGACTCTGCACTGGGTACAGAGCAGGATGTGGGGCCCAATCCCACGACCCTGAGCAGGATGTGGGACCTAATCCCATGACCATTAAGTCAGATGCTTAAGCAACTGAGCCATCTAGGCACCCTGACACCAAGTTTTAATTAATGTTCACATATAGTGGTTTCCCAGCATATAATAGTAGGATTTCCACTAGGAAGACAAAATACAATACCAGACAGTAACCAAACTGAATTCCCTCAGCAGGATTCATTAAGAAAAGTAATTCTGCACAAAGGAGAAAAGAGTGATGTCATAGCTATAGGATTTTAGTACCGACTGCCAATTCAAATGGTTTCTCTCAGAGTTTCACCTGTACCCTATTCTTTGCAACCAACCAGGATGTCATGTACCTAACTTTTAGTGAAAGCCCTTTAACTGGGGAGAATGACACCTGGGACATTAAAATTCCCGACATGGAACCGCAATAAGAATGAGAGCATCATCTTTTTTCTCACCACTGTATTCTCATCTATATAGTAGAGGGCCTCCCATACCATACAATCACTCAAAATTTTGCTGAATTAATAAATAACCTGATAAATTTATTTCAATGAAGAGGTTTCTACAGGCTTCTAATGAAGAACTGAACTGTACATGAACCAAGAAAAAAAAAAAAAAAGACAGTCTTGATAGATTATCCCGAGGATATTACTTAGGTTTCAAATGAAATAAATTTTGGTAATAGTTTAATAAGTAGGAAAGAGTTAGGTACTAAGTACTTAGACGTACATTTATTAGATTTGTTGTTGGCCCACATATGCTGCAATTGATTTCCTAAATGCTCAGAAAGTACTGTTTATATGTGTGTATTTTTTTTAATGAGATGCTGCAGTTTTGCTATTAGATTTAAGGTACAATAAGTCAAATAGGCCTTATAAAATATAAGTTGACTTGTCCATCTTTACATTTTCCATTTCATTTGTGCTAATTCAATTCTTAGATATTGCTTCATCAAAGTCCCTTACGGCCACTGTTGATTTTCACCTGCTCTTACTATAAGTACTGCTCAAAGTTGACACCTCTAGGGTAAATTGAGTGATTTATCAAGTGATTTAGCTGGGGCCACAGAGCTGGTGAGACTGGCAGAACTGGGATCAAAAACCAGTCTTCTGGACTCCCTTTTCAGAGCCTTTTCTATAAAATGTCATTGCCTCTTTAAATTCTGACCTATATGATTATTTTAATAAGAAAGAGAGACATTAGCTCAATGTATGGGATGATGGGGCAAGGACTAAGGAATCAGAGAACGTCAAGACTGCCAAGAGCTTTGTCAGAAAGAATTATAAAAAAGCAGGAACTTTGGTTTGGTAAGGCACCATTCAGAATACATGCAGAGTAGTGATAACCTGGTTTCCTACTGAAGTAGTTCTAACCTCAAGCACAACTGAATTATCTAGCACAACAGACAAGTTACAAGACTTGGGGTGTCAGGAGTCTGCATAACCTTGAGAACATGATAAATTTCTGAGCCTCTTTACTTATAAAATGGACATCTAAAACACAGGGCTATTGAGGCAACAAAATGGAACTTCTTTATGCCTTCTTAAAATACATATTTCTTAAGCAAGTATCACATGTAAAGCACTCTTGACATATGGAAGCACTGGAAATGCATAAAAGAAAAAATTTCTGCTCCTCAAGAAGCTCCGGCTAATATATACAAACCGTAATTACAAAATATGTAAATTTACTACAAAATCCTTGAGCTGCAGTGGATTAAAGTCTCTGCTTTCGGCTCAGGTCATGATCCCAGGGTCCTGGGATCAAGTCCCGCATCGGGCTCTCTGCTCAGCGAGGAGCCTGCTTTCCTTCCTCTCTCTCTGCCTGCCTCTCTGCCTACTTGTGATCTCTGTCTGTCAAATAAAATAAATAAAAAAAAAAAAAAAGAAAAAAGAAAATCCTTGTAAGATCTTAAGTCTTAAAAGTAGCTTATTATTAAATAAGATTACTTATGTCCTCACCCTAAATTCTATGCTATAGAATTACAGGCTAATAATAATTTTATATATTGGAATATGTTTGTAATTTTTTGGTGGATACAAAACTTTCAGCTCCTCCTCTTTAAATTCTAGAGATAGAAATGGGTCTTAAAGATCATCTGGGGTAGTTTTGCTCCTCAATGAGGAGTACCTGCAACAGATGGTCATTTAGCTTCTGCACGAACATTCCCAGTGATAAGAAGTTCACTTAAAATACCTTTCCATCACACAGTCCCATCTCAAGTGGGACGAAGTCTCCTTCCTTGTGACACAGTCTTAGACCTGCCTTCTACCATTGAAAGTCTTATCTAAAATCCTTAAAAGAATCTATGAGCTTCCTGAAATTGCACACAAATTCCCTCTATATGTACATTCCTCTGGGAAAAGGTTCCACTTTCTTCCATCAGATGCTCAATGTAATCTACGATGGCTCCCAAAATGGTTCAGAACCACTGCTCTAAAAATGCAGCACAGAATAAATTTACAGTGAGACTCCTTTAGATACTCGAGATGAGAACCATATATGCAAAAACAATGCATGGTCTCTTTAGGACAAATACCACTAAGGTTTCAAATTGTTTGCTCTCCAGCTTGGGTCTCATTAGATAGGACACCCAGAACTAGATACAAATATCTAGATGTGGTCTGAACCTGCAAATAATACAGTGAGATCATTTTCTCTTGAGCTGAATATCCTGTTTTTGTAACACATATGACATTCTGTCTCATTATAATTGAGCCCAGTCTTTACTTTACCTCAATGCAAGGATTTATACTCAAAGAGCGCCTGTGACAGCTGTTGTTTCAACTGCAAAGTGCTATATAAAGATATTATGATATCTGTTTTGACTTCATTGTTATAGCCTGCTATGATTATTCTGAATATTGATTCAAACACTCAATGCATTTGGCAAAGCTCTTGACTTGGTTTCATTTACCAATTTAATAGGCAAGTCTGTAAGCCTTTTTAGAGAAAAGCTGGAGAAAACATCACCCTGAGAAAGTAAATTGAGCTCAGCAACTTATTAATACAAAGTTCCCTCCAGGGTGCCATGATCCAGTCATCAAGAGATCTCCTTTAGCTATCACTATGTAATAGCTATTAAAAAAATCCACAAGACTCAATGTATGCACAGCATCCCTATCCTACTTACAAAGTGCTCAGTCAGTGTGTGCACAGCATCTCCAGTGTTACTTACGAAGCGCTATGTGTGTGGCATCCTCTAAAGGGTAACCTCGTTTTGCAGAATTGATGGCACAGAATCCCACAGAAGACATTGATTGCTCTCTGAAGTCAAACAGAAAACACAAACCACCAACAGTCATAATACATACATATGTAATTAATTTAAAAATGCAGCTCAACCTCTCTTTCCCTACCCTCTTAATAAATCTAGTATAACAGTTAAGCCAGCTACACTTTTTAATAATTATATCAATATTATAACTGTACCATCTGGGGGAAATATATTCAAAGTAAAGACTGAGTAAAATGGGAATAAGTTAAATTCTTTAGTCACCCAAATCCACTCCTTTTATCCCATTTGTGTGTGAAGATAATTAATTTTATCTTCTGAGTCCTCTTATATGATTTAAACCCCTCAAAATTGACTTCCATGGCTAGGTTTCATTCTGAAACCGGGGCCTTTAACAATGTATGGTATGCTGCTTCCAGGAAGTGAATTAGCCGTACTTGGCCAACTGAAGCACGTTTCTGTAGCAGCTGTACAGGGAACTCTCAGCGGCTGTGCGATAGCGGCTCTTGTATTTAGGTCCCACTGTATGAATGATGAACCGGGCAGCTAGATTAAATCCTTTTGTCAGTTTTGCTTCACCTGTCCGGCAACCTGGGAAGAATGGAGCATACATAAGTCATGGAGGTGTTAGAAAAAAGAAAGTCAACAACAGTAGGCATAAAACAGAAAAGTAATAAGAATTTTGAGAAATTTCAATTAAAAATACGGACAGAACACAAACATTTATCTCTGCTCCCAAAATGACAGTGAAGCAATATAGTTAAGTATAAAAAACAGAGACAAAGAGAATGGGAGAGGATATGAAGTTGACAGGTATCATCAAAATTCTGGAAGGCAGAAAGGGGCCTAGAAATAACTGATTTCGCAAGCAAAGAAACCTAACTGCTCATAGAAACAGTATCACCAATACAAAGCAAGCTGGTTGCACTGAAAGGCTGTGTTGGATTCGGGAGAGACTGCTCTGATTCAACTCTTCAGTCTACCACCTTCCTGCTGGGCTACCTGGAAAGATGCTTCACCTCTCCATGCCTCGTTTGCCTATTTAATGGGAATACTACTAGTACTTACTTCACAGGCCTAAATAAGTCAATACAAGCAAAGTTCAAAATGCATTATCTATTATTCTTATTGTTATTACTGCAGAACACTAGAAAGGCTCAAAAATTGGAGGCCTATGTACTTCTAAAAGCTATGATGTGAAGTGGGACTAAAAAGAGGCTGAGTTAAGTCTGTATAGAAACAGTCAAATCTGCAACAACCTTTCCCCAGCCAGCACAGCAAGGTAATGATTTATCACCATAGCAGTTGGAAGGTTTACTCTTTGGAGATGCTGAACTAGAGTTTCTGGACTCCAGAACCCCAGGCATGGCTGTAATACTTTAGTTAAAGTATTACACTCAACAGTGACGGCTCTAGCCCTCTGCTCCTAACTGGCTTCTAAAACATAGATGCCCACACTTAGACCTCTGAAGAATTCCTTTCCAGGAAACTATGGGGACCCAAACTAAAGGACTCACAGATTCTGACAACTAAGGGAGGTTCCCCAACAAAACAACAGGGCTCCTGCTCATCCTCTGCTTCTAGATCAAGCAGTAATTCTCTAGTTACTGCTCTAGTAAGAGCAGTAATTCTTGCCCATTCACACAAAGGTTCCCTTCACTTTCTCAGTTCCTCCCTCATAAATACAATTGACGCACTGACACTCGAGGATCACCAGGAAGCGAGCAAAGCCTCTGACCATAGGGTGTCAAGGCAATGCTCAAAAAAGAGAGAAAGCAACTCCCAAAATCATAATTACTACTGTCTGAGAGGTAAGAGAAGATATAGTACCTCTGAAACAAAATCAGAATGTTGTAAGAAAGAAATATTCAGAGACAGGAAAAAGTGCTTATATAATTTATAGCCAAGTGAAAAACATGATAGTAGGAACAATAAGTTCAATAGATGGGTTAAAGCTAAAGTTGAGGAAATCTTTCAGAAAATAACAAGCTGGACAATAAAAAATAAGACAAGAATGGGGTGCTTAAGTGGCTCAGTGGGTTAAGCCTCTGCCTTCAGCTCAGGTCATGATCTCAGGGTCCTAGGATCTAGCCCCCCATCGGGCTCTCTGCTCAGCAGGGAGCCTGCTCCTCCCCCCGCCTGCCTCCCTCCCTACTTGTTATCTCTCTCTCTCTGTCAAATAAATAAATAAAATCTCTTAAAAAAAAAAGACAAGAAAATTGGAAGATTAAGCAAGGAGGTACAATATCCAATAGATTTCTTTAAAGAGAGAACAGAGAATACAAAGGGAAGGAAATTAGGTAAGAAATAAAACAAGAAATTTTCTAGAACTGAAAGATAAGTTTCTAGACCAAGTAGCCCACAGAATACCCAAATCACACCAAGGTACCTCACTGTGAAATTGAGAACACCCGAAATAAGATGAGATCATAAAGTTTCCGGTGGGGAAGGGAGGGGATTAGTGACACACACAGACTTAGGAATAAGAACAGCATCTGATTTTTCAGAAGCAATAATAAAAATTGGAGCAATACCTCCAAAAACTTGGAAAATGATTACCAACTCAGAATTTCATTTCCAACCAAACTTCCAATCAAGTATGAAGGTAGAAGATCTCAGCAATTTTGCCCCCATTCATCCTCAGAAATCTCCTGGTAGATATACTCACAAAGATTAAGGAGTACATCACAGAAGAGAAAGGCATGAGATCTAGAAAATGAGTGGATCAAACCACTAAATAGAGAAAAGGATTTCCCAGGATGTTAACTGTACAACAGGCATAGAGAACAGTCTGGAGAGGAAACAGGACAGGGGATTCCAGGAGGGACGTTACCAAGAAAAAGATGGAGCTGAAAGATAAAGTTTTTGACTTTATTGAGAGGTTTACAGTTATTATTTAAAGGTCTGGGATTGAATCAATAAGTTAATTAGAAAATTAAGCAAATTAACTTAAAGGAACTTAAGAAAATTAAATTAGAGGAAAATAGTTGTACAAAAAGAACACTAATCAGTTTTGTAATCAGTGGCAAGTAATACTTATTCAGTCACAATGTTAATGCTGAATGGGGATTTAATAAAAATCTGACAGGCCTATTTGGGAAGGTAGTGAAGAGGGAAGAAAATGTGAGTATTTTATGTATATGTAAAAGAGGAGCGTGGGGGCGCCTGGATGGCTCAGTGGGTTAAAGCCCCTGCCTTCGGCTCGGGTCATGATCCCAGGGTCCTGGGATCAAGCCCCGAATCAGGCTCTCTGCTCAGCGGGGAGCCTGCTTCCCTTCCTCTCTCTGCCTGCCTCTCTGCCTATTTGTAATCTCTGGCAAATCAATCAATCAATCAATCAATCTTAAAAAAAAAAAAGAGGAGCGTGGGTGAACAAGAATTTAATCTTTAATTTCCATAATAAGAAGTCAAAAGACCAGGAAAAAATCAATATAGTAGTTGCAGCATATTATTTGGAGACAGAAGGTAAATAAGGAACTTAAAGTTTTGGAAGTATATATGCCTCTGGTGAACAGGTCTCAAGGCAGGAAAGGGAAAGGCAGAGAACTGATGCTTTCCTTTGTACATTGTGACATAAAATTCTTTGACTTTTATGATCACATATACGTTGATCCATGAAAAGCCATAAACACAAACTGACAGTCGAAAAAGAGAAAGGTGGAAAAACCTCTTTGGCACCATTTGAGGCACTGAAAAATGGTAAATAAAACAAGCATTTACCCTGCCCTCTCACAGAAACTGTAATTCAGAGTAACCACATATCAATTATTGAGGAAAGACTCTACAGGAATGTTAGCTAGTAACTATGGATATAATGATAGGTTTTAGAAAAATATAACTTCATAATCTTAATGAAATTACTGACTCAGACAAAGCCTATAAATAGTTGCTTAAACCATTATGTGAACTTGTGACAGAGAACTGGACATTCACAGAGCTTAAATAACCCCATATTGATTACTTTTCAGTCACAAAAGGTAAAACAACTATATAAATAGAAGAATCAAGCTGTCATGACTTTATACCAGAGAACCATCTTAGTGTCAGTAATGGCCCACTAATGGGTCAATCAGATTTTATACATCTTCCAATATGATACATTAAGTACACAATACAATATCACCTATGGAATGCTTAAGCCAAACCTGATTCCATTAGATATAACTTCCAGGTTATAATGCAAGGGATAAAAGCAAGAAACCAAATGGCTCCTCAGAGTAATGAGATAAATCCAAAGGTGGGCCATCTTGGAAAACATCTCAACCTAGTTCACTCAACAAGTTGGTATCATAAAAAGGGAACTGAGTTGGATGGAAAAAAAATTTTTTTAAAGATACAACAGTTAGATGTGTGACCCTGGATTGGATATCAGTTTGGACAAAGTAGCTGCAGAGGGCATTTCAGGGTCAACTGTAAATTTATAATATGGTTTGGGTATTAGATAAAGTAATTTCTGAAGCCAAAAGGTGGAATTCATTTACTGAAGAAAGCATACTACAGAAGAGTATATGTGCAACTGGGACACCCAGGTGGCTCAGTCATTAAGCATCTGCCTTCAGCTCAGGTCATGATCCCAGGGTCCTCTGATTGAGCCCCTCAGGAGGGAGGTTGCTTCTCCCTCTCCCTCTGCCTGCTGCTCCCCCTACTTGTGCTCACTCTCTCTCTGTCAAATAAATAAATAAAATCTTTTTTAAAAAAAAGTATACAATTATCTGATCAAAGATAAGGACAGTATATTCATATAATTATTTTATTTTATGCTGATAACAAAATATTTAAGAATGTATGCATATACCTACATATACGTACAGAAAGATCCAGAAGAATATGTACCACAGAACTAGTAGTGGTGATCTTTGTGGGGTGGAAATGTTAAGTTTTCATTTATTTTGTAGCTTCTGTGCATCTAATCTCTACAATTTGCATTTATTGCTTCTGTAAGTGGACAACAATTATTCAAAAGAAATGATATATATAAAAAAAATAAAGCAAGCAAGCAAACACATATTTGGGAAATCAGTTTGCAGAATCAATCCCGAAGATCTCTGAGGATAGACTACAGAAACAGTAAAGAACTGTTAAGTGTTCAGGATACTTTGGTTCTAGGAATCTCACCTTTCCTTTAATAATTGTTAACCAAAACTCAGAACTCTGGAGACTAGACTTAGGCTAAGTACTGTTGCATTGCTTCCCAATCTTCCATTTGTTCTTTCTTTCTTTTTTTTTTTTTTTTAATAAACATATATTTTTATCCCCAGGGGTACAGGTCTGTGAATCGCCAGATTTACACACTTCACAGCTCTCACCATAGCACATACCCTCCCCAATGTCCATAACCCCCCAGCCCCCAACCCCTCTCCCCCCATCAACCCTCAGTTTGTTTTGTGAGATTAAGAGTCACTTATGGTTTGTCTCCCTCCCAATCCCATCTTGTTTCATTTACTCTTCTCCTACCCCCTTAACCCCCCATGTTGCATCTCCTCTCCCTCATACTATGCAGCCATCAAAAGAAATGAAATCTTGACATTTGCGACGATGTGGATGGAACTAGAGGGTATCATGCTTAGCGAAATAAGTCAATCGGAGAAAGA